TTAGAGTAAGACATATTGTAAAAAAAAAAAAAAGAATTAAGGAAAACCTTCTTTGAGAAGGACAAGAAATATTCAAATAATTTGCAATTAAACAAGTTGTCTCATTAAAAACCCTTGTTTATTCTACATGTGCAGATCTGACCTGTAGCCTCCATTCAGAGAAACGAATGCAAGCAAATTGGTGCAACCACTCTGGAAAGCAGTATGGAGATTCCTCAAAAAAACTAAGAATGGAATCACCATATGACCCAGCTGTCCCAATACTGTGCTAAGGATTTAAAATCAGCCTACTATAGTGATGTGCCACATCGGTGTTTATAGCAGCTCAATCCACAATAACTAAGCTATGGAACCAATGTAGGTGCCCTTCAACAGATAGATGGGTAAAGAAAATGTGGCATATATACTCAATGGAATATTATTCATCTATAAAAAAAAGAATGACTTTATGACATTTGCCAATTGATGGATCTGGAGACTATTGTGCTAAATTAAATAAGCCAATCCCCAAAAACCAAGGGTCAAATGTTTTCAGTAGTAGGTAGAAGCTAACCCACAATAAGGGAGCTGGAGGGATTAGAAGTTCAGTAGATTAAACAAAGGGTAATGAAGGGAAGGGATCGGACAGGAAAAGGAAAGACAGTGGAATGAATCTGACATAATTTTCCTATGTACATTTATGAAAATACCACGGTGAATCCCACCATCGTGTACATCCACAAGAATAGGGTCCTAATTAGAATAAGATATATCCCCTGCTTGTATAATTATATCAAGATAGATTCTACTGTCATGTATAACTAAAAAGAACCAATCACAATTTTAAAAATAAGAAAAGGTTTTTTCAAAAAGAAATGAACGCAGTTTCTCAGGACCTCCATGGTGCCCAGCAGGGAAGGAACCCTGTCAAGGGTCATCCTCTCAGGCCCCTGGGGCAGGTGCTGTTGGCTCAGAGACACTCTAAGGTTTGCCCACCAGGGATTATCCTCCTGCATCTCTAGATGGTCCTAACTCCAATTCAACGATACAAACTCTGCCCTCTCTCCTTGAGTTCCATTCTCTTTGGCCCAATGTGAACAAGAAGCTGTGGATCCCTCAGTGGAGGCTGATCCTCCAGGCCCTGACCTGAAGCACCCATCCCCATCCAGTCTAGACAACCAGGTATGTCACCGCTAAGGATGGTGCCCTTCAATTTCCAGTCCCCAGGAGGAGAGCAAGACCCCATGCTGGAGCAATGTGAGCACCAGTTAGCCAGCCAGGACTTGGGCATGAGGACCCCACTACTGGAATCAGTGGATATTTAGGAATCATAAATTAAGGCGAGAACCAGGGCACCAAGTCACAGCAAGACCAACATCAAGCCTGACTTATGTCCACCCAAGGGATCTTATGGCCTTATATGTTGGAGTCTGGTTCCAGAGTCAGCTGTAGGAGCTTGATCAGCTGCTAAGATGTTAGAGCAATAGAGTAAGGGTGGATATAAATACTAAGCTGAGCTTCACATGCCACCTCCAGCACCCCAATCCTCTAACCAGAAGTCCAAATGCAACTCTACATACATGTCAAGGCAATGCATACCTCTGGTGTTTCATTTGACTAGTGACTTTTTAAAAATTTGTTTTAGTTGTAGATGGACACAATACCTTTATTTTATTTTATTTATTTATTTATTTGTATAGATGTGGTGCTGAGGATCAAACTCAGTGCCTCATACTTGAGACGTAAGGGCTCTGCCACTGAGCCACAATCCCAGCCCATTGACTAGTGACTTTTTCAAAATCTAAATACAGCATAAAGGATTTCTCAGAAGGCTTTGGAATCAAGCAGATACATTCATGAATTATGTCTCTGCCATGAGCTGATGGCTTTATTATGGAATTTCAACAGCCTTTCTGATTCTCTGCTTTATGTTTGAAGGATTTCAATAGTCCTGGTAAGAATGTTGTGATTAAGGTTAATCTCAGCACATAGGACAGAGCGGTTGTCCTGAAGTTGTGCTTTGGAATCGCTGAGGGAGCTTCAGAGGACAGGTGCTACCCAACCCCATCCCCCAGAGAGTGTCTGTGCACAGTGGCCTGGGCTTGGAGGATGTCAAAAGATCCCAGATGCTTCTAATGTTCAGACAAGCTTCAGAACCCCTGGCATAAAGACTGTCATTACTAAGCATTAAATATTCACTAAATAAATGAAAATGATCGGTGCTTAGTACATACTAGACTTCTCATAATTCTCAGGCCATCCCTTCCTGGACCATTGATCTCATTTTTCTCATTAGGATGCCTTGAGATTCAGTGTCAGGCTGGGATTCCAGTTGGTGTTGCCGCTACTTGTGGCCGGGATTCCTGAGAGCATGCAGAAGGCTCTGGTGTCGTAGGCTGTGATGCGGAGTTCCAACAGGTCCCAGGGCCCCGATTTCTTTGACTTTTGTTTTCAACATCTGTCACAGTAAATCATCTGTCTGCTGTCCTGGGTCAATCACATAAAAGCAACAAAATTCCCAAAATCTGACTACGTGGCTTATCAGTTTCCAAGTCTTTTACTGGCTTGTGGAGAGAAGTTCAATTCTGAGAGCCAAAGAACCATCTAAATCATTCTAAAATTTAGGAGTCAGTATCATGTCCCCTGTCCACAAAACAGGAGATCAGTAAAGCTGCAGAGTTGCTGGGGCGGGGGGGGGGGGCGGGGGGATCTGTTCCCTCCACGGGCTATATGAATTATTACAGGCTTATGAGCAGAAGTGGTTTCTCGTGTCTGTAACTGAGGACTGGAATGTCATTTGATGCATAAAGCTTGTATTATATGCTGTTTATGATTCAAAGCAGATTCTCAAATTGCACCCCAGTGACATGATAGAAAATTGTGTAGATGCTGGGGAAAAATTGGTTGGTCTCAAGAACTTGAAATCATTTTCTACTTGACCCCAGAATCCTGATGGAGTCGGGCTGCTTCCCTAGAAACAAAAACTTATTGCCGATGACATCTTCAAGAGACGAGACTTCCGGCCTGCTGGGTTTTAAAAACACCCTTTCTGAATAAGAGATGAATCTTTTCAGAGTAATTCTACATTGAACAGAGATTTTATAAGTACTATGAAAAGAGCTTGTTTTCGAAAACTATTATAGGCAAAAACTAACTAATTTTGGCACCTGGTAATACTGAGCTGTTTGTGAAAGAAGGGATGTTCTGTGTTCGTTAATGTTTATTAGCCCTTATGTAATATTTTACCTATTATATTTTGTATTAAAAGTCTATGAATCTAGGCCACACTTCCATCATTCCCTATATTTTAAGATTCCTGATTTTTTTTAAATTTCTTTCTCACCTTTATTTTATGTATTTATTTTTTTATGTGATGCTGAGGATCAAACCCAGTGCCTCACACATGCTAGGCAAGTGCTCTCCCGCTGGGCCACAGCCTCAGCCCAAGTATCCTGACTTCTTAAAGTTGAATTGGCTTATGATTTCTTAACATAGATAAACAGTTCTACTTCAGGGTTTAAAAATAAAACAACAAGATATATGTGTGTGTGTGTGTGTGTATATATATATATATATATATATATACATATATATATATGTTTATATGTAGTTTATATAGTTTTATTGGTTCTTTTTATACATGACAATATGATTCCTTTTGACATAATTATAAAAGCATGGAATATAATTTATTCTAATTCAGTCTCCAGTAGTTCCCTCTTCCCTTCCCTCCTCCCTCCCCCTGCTCCCTTCCCTCTGCTGATCTTTCTGTTATTACTTATATTTTTTTTCAAAATTAGTGTCTTGTGGATGTGTACGGTGGTGATATTCATTGTGGTATATTTGTACCTAGGAAAGTTTGGTCAGATTCCTTCCACTTTCTTTCCTTATCCCGTCCCTCTTCTCTTCCTTTCATTCCCCTTTTTCTACTCCCCTGATCTTTCTTCTATTATTTTTTTTTTAAATCCCCCCTACCCTTATTTCGGATCAGCTTCTGCACATCAGAGAGAACATTCAGCCTTTGGTTTTCTGGGATATCTTTGGATGTCTGGGATACCTTTTCTATCATCTTTGACTGCCATTTGCCCTCGTTGGACCTCCATATTGGAAACCAAGGTTGCACTTCACATAGCAAAGAAGATGAAAATGAACCCAGTCCTTTCTCAGGAAGGCTCTGGTTTCCGTTGGTCTCTTATTGGTCTGCCTGCCATGAGCCCTTTGCTAGTCTTCAGGTCATTACCTGAGACGATCTGCAGGTCTGACAGGTCACATATGGTCTTTGGGGGTCAATTTGAAGCATGTATATGTGGAAAAAGATTTCCAAAGATTTTCAGTATTTCTCTCTTGAGCTGCTCAAAAAGGTTAAAAAAAACAGCCAGGTGCAGTGGTGCATGTCTGTAATCCCAGTGGCTCAGAAAGCTGAGGCAGAAGGAGCGAAAGTTCAAAGCCAACCTCAGCAATTTGGTGAGGTCCTAAGCAACTTGGTGAGACCCTGTCTCAAAACAAAAAAATAAAAAGGGCTGGGGATGTGCCTCTGTGGATAACCACCCCTGAGTTCCATCCCTAATACTGGGGGGAAGAAAAGTTCAAAAATATTAGGAACCCTGGGTTATTTTTCGCCTTCCCTCCTTCTTGTCCTCTCTGTCCTGGGTGGTTACAGTTTCCAGTGTCCCTGTAAAGCTAATTTTGTCAGCTGGACCACTTTTCCCCTTAGGATTCTGAATTGGCCAAGGTCCAGTTCTTTTCCTTTCCTGAGCGTTGGACGTGAACTTGTGAATGTGGCCTTGTTTGCCTGAGTTGGCATTGGGCTCCTGGACATGCAGATTCTACTGACAGTCATGTCCCCAGGCAGGCCCTGCCTCCATCCAGGATCCTGAACAGACCCATGCAGCACCCGTAAGCCTGGGGGGCCCCTGGGGGTCCTCAGCCCCACTCCCTCTCTGGCAGCAGGTTCTGGGGAACTCTGGCCACACCCCAGCATGCCCCAGGCTCAGGGCAGCCCCCTCCTCTGCCTTCCGCAGGGTCCTGTAGCGACCACGGCATCAGCGTTTTCTGTCCTCTCTTCTGGGCCTGGCCTCCCGCCACCTCCTCCTCCACCGCCTCCCCCAGGACCACCTCCACTTTTTGAGAACGAAAGCAGAAAAGAGGAGTCCTCTCCTTCTCGTTCGGCTTTGTTTGCCCAGCTTAACCAGGGAGAAGCCATCACCAAAGGTGAGCACATGAGACCCCAAAGTGTGTTGCTTTCCCTTTGCCTCCAGGAACACCATCCTGTGTCAGTCCGCTTTTTGTCACTGTGACCCAAATGCCTGACTAGAACAACCTTGAAAAGTTTATTTCGACTCAAAGTTTCACAGGTTCAGTTCATTTGTTGGACACCTCTATTCCTTGGGCCAAGATGAGGCAGAACTTTGCGTCAGAAGGGCAACGGAAGGCTGCTCACCTCCAGGCAGTCAGTAAGCACAGAGGCAGAGAGGGAGAGGAAGGGACAAGGTCACATGTAGTCCAAGGCCAGGCCCCGGGCGCCCCACCTCCCCGACCTATGCCCCATCTGCCTACAGTTTCCACCCAGTAGTCTATAGAGCTCTCAGTAGATTAATCCAGCAAATGGATTAATCAGCTGATGAGGTCAGAGCCCCAGTCATTACCTAAAAGTCCCACCTCCAAAACTTGCTGCATTTGGAGTGGGATCTCATCAGATGTAGGGTATATTTATATTCATGTTCATGCACACATTCATTTACACGTTCATGCACATATATGTGTGGACATTCACGTTCTTATTCATGTACTTTTTAAGGTACATGTACATATGCATATTCATATACATATGCATATTTATGCACATATGCATATTCATATACATATTCAATTTCATGCACATGTAAATGAACACATTCTTATTCATGCCTATATACACTTTCATATTCATGTAAATGTATTCATACTCATGCACACATTCATATTCTCATATGTAATCATACACATGTTCATAATTATGTACATGACACCTTCATATTCATATTTATGTACATGTTCTTATTGGTACTCATATCCATATATATTTGCATATTCATGCATGTGTATGTGTACATGTTCATTTTCATGTACACATACACATCCATATTCATGTACCTCTACATGCACATGGTCATATTTATGTCCCTGTGTGCTATATATGTATTGATATTCATAAACATTCAGATTAATTTTCATCTCTAGAGATCTCAACACATGGGCTTTGGGGGGCACATTCTAGATTCAAACCATAAACCCCAAGGCCAGCGATGCATGAGCCATTCCACTCCCACCCCCAACACAAAGGGGGAGGGCGCCATAGCTGGGAGGGCGCCTACACTCTTCAAGTCTAGGCAGACGGTCTCAGTGGAGCAGGAAGAACTCAGAGACTCTGGGTTCTCAGTCAACCACTGCACTACTTCACCCCTGCAGCCCCTGGTGCTCCAGCAGCATCCTCTAAAACCCAAGCATCAAGGTCAAGTGAAATGAAAATGGCCAAAGGCAGCACCTCTGTCCTGACGCGGTGTCCTGGCTTGCTGAGGAGCTCTATCACCGAACTACCTTTGTCCTCATAGTGATGGTTAATTTTTAAAAATACAACAGTTAAGATATATCAGGGTCAAAAGCGCTTGCATTCTAAACCATAAAGGCATTCTGTACTCTGAATCAACAGGGCATAGAAGTTAATTCTATACTCTGATATACACTCACCCGAATGCCTGACTTTTTAGGCCCGTTCTTGTGGGTGATTTAGCCATGAGAAAAGAAACAAACCATGAGATTTTTTGTGGTAATGTAGTAATGATATGGGAGTTGGGTTTTTGTTGTTTTGTTGTTGTTGTTGTTCTGGTTTTGGTTTTTTTTGTTGTTGTTTTTTTTTTTTTTTTTTTTGGTCTGTTGCAGAATTTCTACCACCCTAAAGACAGAGGGCCTCAAGTTAAAAAGTGCCCATGGTGCTTCTATCAGTATAAACTTACACAGGATCCCTGTCCCCCTCCCCCACTACACACACACACACACACACACACACACACACCAACCTCCATTCTGCTCTCTGTCTCTCTGAATTCGGCTGCTCATTTCCATCAACTTTTAACTAGGCAGCAAGAGACACCATTAACATGCTCAAAACTACTCTGTAACAAAAATAGCACCACCAGAAGTTCTGCTTGTTTACATCAAGCATCTTTCCTTTTGCATATGTCATAAAGAAATGTGCCCATGTGTGTTGCTTTCCTAGGGCTCCGGCATGTCACAGACGACCAGAAGACATACAAGAATCCCAGCCTGCGGGCCCAAGGACAAGTGCGATCTCCAACCAAATCCCACACTCCAAGTCCCACGTCTCCCAAATCCTCTTCTCCCCAGAAACATGCTCCAGTGTTCGAGTTGGAAGGAAAGAAGTGGAGGGTGGTGAGTGAAGACCTTTGACCTGTGTTCTTCACACACTTTGATGAATGCACCACCCATTTTCCTGGGTCTTGAGAAAGGACACTGGCTGGAGGAGGCACTGTGCATTTCCAAATGCTTCCATAAATTTTTTCTGACTCTTATGCATTATTTTCTTCAACATTTTTAAAGTTGTTTTTAATTGTGGTAATATACACGTAACATAAAATTTACGCGTGAACCATTTTAAGGGTACATTTTAGTGGCATTATTAAGGGCAGTGACGTTGTTGTGCACCATTACCACCATCCAACCATGGAACTCCATGGAACTCTCTGCATCTTGCAGATCTAAAACCCTGAGCCCAGCATATGATGCTCCCCTAGCCTCCTGCCCGCAGCCCCTGGTGACCACCTTCTCCTTTCTGTCTTTGTGAATTTGACTACTCATTTCCACGAGCTTCCAACCAGGCAGTGAGAAACCACAATAGCTTGTGGCCTGGGGAAGGTGTGCCCCGTTCTGATCCGCATAGTGTTCCCTTGGTACCCCTGATGGAGGCCCTGATACAGCCGTACACTACCGCTGCCACCCCCACCTTCAGGGCTAACGCTGTGAGCAGGACAAGGACATTTTGAAAGTGGAGAAAGCTAGTGTCCTCTACATTCCGGAGAGCATCCCAGAAGCATAAGGACCAAATCCCTGGAAAGGTTGTCATGGCCTGAAAACACAGTGGAGCTGGACCGCTGTTGTGTCCCTTCAGCAGCCCCTCTGCCAATCTCCTACGTGGCACAGTGGATTTTGCTGCAGGATCAAGGCCTTGGCATCAATCTCTCCACAGCTCTCACACCCATGCTTCAGCCCCATCCACTCACCAGGGAGCCAGTACCCGATGCTTGCACATTGACACTGACCCCCTTCTAGGCAGTTCCATCCATTTTCGTCATTACAATGACAAGGTAAGGCCTGGCGGTGCCTGGAAGGACATGGATCTGAAACAAAGAGCACCCTGAAAAGCTATCCCAGCTGCATAGTGACTTCTGTGCACGGTGGACTTGTTTATCTGTATATCCTCGTACATAATATTTGTGTCTGTTTTAATTTTAGGAGTATCAAGAGGACAGGAATGACCTCGTGATCTCAGAGACTGAACTGAAACAAGTGGCTTACGTTTTCAAATGTGACAAATCGACACTCCAGATAAATGGGAAAATAAATTCCATTACCATTGGTAGGGCCAAGGGGCGGCTCTGTGTTCCTCTGGTGGGTTGTGTTCAGGCATGCTGTGAGTATTTAGTGGGCTTTTCCCCCTCTAGATAACTGTAAGAAGTTTGGCCTGGTGTTTGACAATGTGGTGGGGATCGTGGAAGTGATCAACTCCAAGGACATTCAGATCCAGGTAAGCAGCCCTTCCAGCCCTGCTCCACCCTGGCCGTGGCCCCACATGCACTGCCCACTCTGCCTGCAGGGGGACCCTCACTCCTCCACATCCACCCGGAAAACTCCTGCTCCTGTTCTTTCCAAACATAGCTCTGTTGTTGCCTCTTCTGGCTCATCCTGTCTTTCTTCTGAGCATTCACTCCCCCACCTCTGCCTCTAACACATCCCTCTACTGGTTTACTGTCTATTTCAAGGACAACTAACTAATCTTTACAGCTCCAGAGATTTGCACAGGACCTGCACACAGTAGTTGTCTAATAAATAAATGTTTGGTGGATTGGAATGGATCGATTACTGTGTGTGTAAAAATACTAAGCAGATTTCTCAGTGTAGCACCATCATCCCCGGGAAAATTATGGCACTCTTCCCCAACCCTACTGGGAAAATTGGTCTTAGAAGAAAAATTCTTCTTAAGAGTTAGTGAGGTAATCAGAAAAACACCTGGGAAGTCAAATTGAAATTGAATTTTCAAAAATAGAAGAAAACCTGTAGTCGTTTAGTAATTTTGCTTTAGTCAAATGGGATTTAACGATACACCAAAATCTAGAGGGTGTCTCGTATCTTTGGCCAACTGTGACTTCTGTCTTTGGCTACATTTTTCCTATTGTTAATTATCCTTCACCACCTGATACTTCCCAAGAATGTTTGTTCAAATTAGATTTTGACTGCACAAATCTTTTTGCTTTCCTGACACTTTTTTCTTTTTCTTTTTTTTTTTTAATAGCACTGAGAATTAAACCAGGGGTGCTCTAACATTGAGCCACATCCCCAGCTCTTTTTGTTTTCTTTTGAGCCAGGGTCTCACCTCAAAATTGCAATCTTCCTGCCTCAGCCTCCCAAGTTGCTGGTCACCACTGAAACCTTTAATTAGAGTCCCCTGTGTGCACATTTACATTTCACTGATGGTAATTTTAGAAGTTAGTTTTGCGTGTGTCTGTCAAATGGAAATAATCCTGACTGGGCATCAGGACACCTGGGCACTAATGCCAGCTCTGGAGCTATAGCTGATAATATTAGGAAAAAGTCAGAGAAGCTATACTACATTCTGTCAGCAAAGTAAGAGTATCTTGAAAAATGCTACCGAAAAACTCATACTTAATTTAAAACTTTAGAATTGCCATTAAAGTCAGAAAAATAAGAAAATTACTTCCATCATTGCTTCTAGTGATGTATTAAAGGTACAATCTGTGCAATAAGATGAGAAAAATAATTGAGGGATATAAAACTGGAAAAGGAAGAACAAAGATGTCCTTATTTGCCAACAAAATGATTGCCTTGGGCTGGGGTTGTAGCTCAGTGGTAGAGCTCTTGCCTAGCATGTATGAGGCACTGGGTTTAATTCTAAGCACCACGTATAAATAAATAAAATAAAGTCCTATTGACAACTAAGAAAAAATATTTTTAAAAATATGATTGCCTTTACATAAAATCCAAGAGAGTTAACAAACTATGAAACTGAAGAAACATTCAGCAAGATGGTTGGATACAACATCAGCATGCAAAAATCAACAACCTGTCTTTATACTACAAATAAGTCTTAGAAAATGTAATACAAAATAATATTTAAAATCACAACCAAACTGTAGGGTGCTTAGGGAGAAAATAACAACCAAAATGGAAGGTATTCATAAGGAACACAAAAGAGATGTAAATAAATGGACAGAAAGACGTCAGTATCAGTGGTCTCCATTTATTTAACCCATAAGTTCAGTGAAACTCAACTCAAACATCTCAACAGGATTTTTGATGAAAAATGGCCTTAAAATTCATTTGGAAAACTAGTGGACAAGAATAGCTAAAACGATTTGAAAGCAGATGAACAAGCTGAATGGACTTGCATACCAGATATTGAGTCATTGAAAACGTTATAGTGTGGGAAGTATAGAAAAAGACTCACAAACAGCCTGGCAAGCCCTGAAATAGATAGATACATTAATAGAAGTGTGTGTTTAGGACAATTGATTATCTATTTGGGAAAAGAATATATACTGAATTCTCATCATACATAAAAGTAAAGTTTTAATTATGAAAAGAAATACTTTTGAACTCTGAGAATAACATGCAGAACGTCTTGGTGACCTCAAAGAAAGAAAGAAACTAATTGGATCAAAAAGCACAAACCATAAAGAGAAGAACCAATTAATCTAAAAATAGTAAATATCATTAAAATTAAAATGGGGGGAAGGGAACTCCCCATGATGTTCAACCATAAGAATGGGAAGTTATACTCCATGTACGCATAATATGTCAAAATACATTCTACTATCATGTATATAAAAAGAATAAAAAATAAAAATAAAATTATAGTTCAACAAGTAGACCTGATATACAAAGGTGAAAGACAACCATGAATTTGGGGAAATCTTTTCAGATAAACAAAAAGGATTTATGTCCAGAATATATAAAGAATGGACCATGAATCAATAAGAAAAAAAAAAACTAACAATCTAATAGGAAAATGGGCAAAGATTATTAAAGCAACTCAGAGAAGGAAAACAGAATTGGTTTATACATATGAGTATACATACATATAGATATACGTGGATATCTATGTGTATAGAAACATACGTATACATACCTATACCTATATGTAGGTGTATATGTAAGTGAATACATATATATGCATAGGCATAGGTGTATGTAAAGTTAATAATTAGAAATATATTTTCACACAGTTTTGGATTCAGAATGCCCTTTGCAGGGTGCCTTGAACTGAATCTCATACTCTGTAAGAACTCTGAGTTGAGGATTGCCTGTATGTTAAGAGAAGTGGAACATGAGAACCCTGGCGCATCCATGTTGGGAGAGTGATTATGTTGCACTCACTGCTGAGCAAACTGGCCCCATCTCATGAAGCCACATCATACTGTGTGACTAATTTGCTCTTAGGAATAAACACTAAAGAAGCACTCGTACATATGCCAAGGAGACTCAAAACGTATTTGATGCAGTGTAATTCAGAATGCCAGTAAAAACAACCAGTTTAAATGTCCATCAACTGGCAAGTGAATCACCCTCCTCACTGAACACTGCACGTTAGTGAAAATGAAGGCTCCGCAGCTGCATGTATAAAACGGTATTGAGCAATGAAGGCGTTACAGAGTGGCAGACATTGTGCAATGTACCTATTTATAAAAAGATTGAAGACATGCAAACAATACCACATAGTAAATGTACTTCTGAGAGCTCAGGGTAGCCATGCCAATCGCTTTAACCAACAGACAGACCTGGTGAACAATAGACAGACTTGGTGAATCATAAGCACAAAATCCAGAAGAGTAGTTACAGAGGAAGGAGAGATCAGTGAGGTGGTATATGTTATGAAGGTGCTTCAACAATATTAGAAAATTTTAGTCTCTTAAAAAAATAGGAAATAAGCCAAAATGTATCACTCGGATGAAGCTATTGGTAGGCATATACACATTGCTGTATTTGTTGTATTATTCTTTATATATTTTTCTATTTTTGAAATATATTGTAATATTTTTAAGGATAAGCCATGTTTTCTTGTATCAGAATGATAGAAATTCAGCAGTGCAATTCAGAGAAAAACATTTAGTGAATACTTTTTGAACTTTGGCATGTTCAAACCAAGGGAATGTCATTACCTATTTAAAGCACTTAAAAGGACCTGCACACAATAGAAACAGAAAACCGATTAGTGGTGGCCTGGGGTGGGGGTGGGGGTGGGGATGGATTGTGAGTGGCCATTAGGGATATTTTGGGGATGATGGAAATATTCTAAAACTGGATTGTAGAGATGATTGCACAAGTCTGTGAATTTATTAAATATAACGGAGTTGTACACTCAAGATGGGTGAATTTATGTTTGCAGGTTTTCCTTCAATAATGCTATTAAAAGATTGAAAGGAATAACCAGGTCAGGACTGAAGTTCACAGGATCTGACCAGTCACCCTACTTTTGGCAAACCATCATAGTAAAATACACAAATTAGGGGAAAAGAGAGAGACCCAAGAAGTCAATGGGAATGTTAAAAATTTTATGGAGAAACATGTTTGTGAAAAACTACATGAGACTAAAAGAGGAACTTGGAGGTAAAGCAGGAGTAGCCGCCTGCGCAAGCTCACATGCCACCTGTCACTCAGCAGAGGAGCTCTTTGGCCCAACTTTCCTGATAAGAAACACTCTCTGTTCCTAAAGTATTCAGAGACTACCAGGGAAAGCCATGTTTATAATGTATTCAAATACGTCATTGACCAAAATGCTGTGGAAATTGCAGTTCTTAACATAACAGGGCTATTTTTAATTTTTGCTATTGCCTTTTCCAGTACCCAGGACACTTCAGGATTTTGGCATACTCTAGCAACGTATAAATACGTTCTAAGAGACAGTGACAAGACATCCCTTTGCTCTGCTTGCCTAGTATTCACACAGCTTTGGTCAGAATGTAAATGCTCTACATCATTATAAAATAAGCAAATCTCGATATTATCAAAACATAGCTGCTGACACATTTTTTAAATACACATATGTATTATTATTTTATTTGTGGCTGAGCCCTGTACTTACCTGACCTTGAACTACCTCTGCCTTTACTTTAGCACTGAGGTTCAATTCCAACTCAGTGTTCAGTTTCTATGCAGAGAAGAGAGAAAACAGAGAAGTAGGGCGATCTGACCAGACGCCCCCCAAGGAATTCTTTACATCACCTGCACCATCAACAGGACTTGCTGCTTTGGTTTGCAATCTAGCCTTTTCTTCAGGGTGAAAGAGGAGATGTCTTTATCACTTTAATTACCATTACAAGAAGGAAAATCATAGTGTCTTTGGGGGCATTCTGTTCCTGTGCAATTTGGGGTGATTTCTGAAAACTGTTCAAAGAGAAACTTAAAACTGATCAGAATTTTTACAGCATTTAGTATTTGTAAACAATACCAGGAATTGCCCTCTCTTCTACACAGTCCTGTTTATCTGTATAATGAGTATCCTGAGCTAAGCCCCCAGTTTTGGCTCCTAAAATAAATACACTTCTAAGAACTCATCTCATATAAACTTTGTATTCATCCACTGAGATTTTTATCCACCAAAAGTACTTACATGAAAAGAATTGTAGTGTTTCTTACTTATTCTTAGTTTAGGAACAATCTACTCAGTTTCTGCTCAAGAATAATCCTATTCTTAAATGTCAGTATTAGTACTTGTTTAAATCCCAGTTTCTAGATATTTGTCAAAACTAAAATTTTTAGCAAATAAAAGCAAATGCATCTTGTTTCTTTTATCGTGAAATCAAATATATGGTTCAGATCCACTTACAGGTGCTGCAAGACTTTTTCTAAACATTTAGCTGCTGTTTCCAAATTAATCCCTTAATTTTGTCTTGGGAAAGAGGCCCAGAGGTTTGAGAATCCCCTTGTGTGGTCTTTTCATTGTATCCCCAAATGACACCTCCCTTTTCAGCCTGGAGCCCATTAACCAGTCTCCCCAGCTTCCACCTAGCACTTCCTAACATTTGGCTAAGCCCAAGCTAAGGCCAAGAATAATCTAGATGGATTTATTGGGGAACACTGTCATTTCTATCAGTTTGCTTTGACCCTAGATTTCCCCCCACCTCATTTCAGGTAATGGGGAGAGTGCCAACAATTTCCATTAACAAGACAGAAGGCTGCCACGTGTACCTCAGTGAAGACGCCTTGGACTGTGAGCTGGTGAGCGCCAAGTCTTCCGAAATGAATGTCCTTGTCCCTCAGGATGGTGATTATGTAAGTAATTCCCAGGTGGCTGTCATTAAAATTCTTAGAGATTGGTTAGACAACAAACCACCAGCGTGGAGCTCCATCACAGGTGGGAACAAGTTCAGGGAGTTGCCTTCCACCACTCTTGCTCAGCTCCTGGGCTCTGCCCACTGCCCATTCCCACAGCAGGTCACTGATCGCTACTTTAATTGGCCGGCTGCTACCGAATAGCGCAGCATGCATCTGAATTCATATTGTGTAGGGCTAAATATTTTTCCTGAGCTCTGATGGAGGGGAACAGGAAAGGAGAAGGCTTTGGGGGGGGGGATGGGAAGGAGGAGAGGGGACAGTTAAGTAGAACTGTTTGTGTACGTTTGCTCAAGTCAGAGATCCTCCACTTACCATAAGAATCAGTGAGAAGCCTGGTGAGATGGGCTGGCATGTCGCTCAATGGCAAAGTGTCTGTCTTGCACTCACAAAGCCCTGGGTTCAGCCCCCAATTCCCAAAAAAAGACAAAACAATAAAATAAAGAAGAAGAAATGGCCAGACTCAAACCCTACACCTAGAGGTGGGATTGGGGAGGCTCAAGATGGGGCCTCTGGGCGTCTGGAGTCCTAATTGCATCCCAGGTGATTCTAATGCCATCAGGCCACCCAGTGGCCCTTCTGAGAAACACAAGCTTAAGTGATTTTGCCAGCATTTCTTTTCTTTGCTCCGTCCTTCCAATAGCATCTAAAAGAAGCATGCAGGTATTCTCATCCATAGAAAAGGGAATTTAAGTGAATAAATAACATTTATGGATAATGGAGTATCATGGATCTGCTAGTTGTCATTACTTAGAAGTAGGAGAATAAATAGAGATCATTCCCTCTGGGTCTAAGCAGGGGACTAGTGAACCAGGAAAGGATGGAAGAAAAGGTAACTTAGCAGGCACACCTTAGGAAGAGGGGCCACATGAGCCTGAAAGGTCAGTCTCCAGCTGTCTACACGGCAGTCAGAGACAGGTTGATCTCCATGGACAGACGTGGCTGCAGCCCACTGCTCCTTTCCCCACTGCCAAGTTCTTCGGCTCCACAGGCCACATACCATATAGAGCATCCTAGAATTCATCCTTTCAGTTTACAACACAAAACTACAAGCATCAGAGGGTGCTTCACCACTCCTCATGTAGACACCCAGCCCTGAGCAAGAGAAGAGTCCCTTCTTGGGCTCTCACCCTAAAAATTATGGAAGAACTCAAGGCAATACCGAAGAGCCTCAGAGTAGGAGAATTCTCCAGAACTGAAGAGCCATAAATCATATGATCCCTGGCCTTCGCAGCTGTTTAAGCAGAAGGCTCAGCTGCATGGGAACTGGACCTGCTAAGGAAAGCAGCGGGGTTGGCTGAGCACTGCAGACTCATTAAGCTGGACTCTCTGGGCATGCCACCCAGGCATCTGTGGTGTTTAAAGCTTTCCAGGTGGTTCCAGTGTGGGGCTGAGATTAAGATCCGCTGGCCTAAAGAGTGACTACAAGCAGTGCCTGCGCTTTTATGCTAGAACTGTAGTCTTGCCCGTGCAGGTGAATTACCCTGAGTCTTCAGTCCTTGACCCCCTTCATACATTTTTAAGTTGGAGGTAATGGGAACCATCCTGAGGGCCCACCATGGTCATTACCATGCAGAGATGGATGGTGGAGTGGTTCATCCTGAAGGAAATCAGCCTCCCAGAGCAAATCCATCATCACGTTACTATCTTCTCTCTGCCAACAGAGAGTTTAGAACACCTATAGGGCAAAGCTTCATTTATGCATCAAAAAGAGCTCCAGAAGTGATATGAGGTACAACACACACAGACACACCCACAGGGACACATTGGGTTTTGAAGACTTAAAGGTTTCCCATTTCAGATTTCACTCAAGGAGAATTCATTGCTCTTTATAGCAAAATAAATAATTCGCTTCTTTCAAAAGAAACAGTTGGATCCTCCTTCTAGGAAGATAGGGGTCATGTGTGTTCCAGTGAAATGTCACATCTCATGAGCAGAGACATTAGCTTATCCCGCATGTGGGGTTTCAGTCTGCTTGGCACATGCAGGAAGTTCAGGGAGGCTCCGGGAGTCAGGGCCAAGGGGGCTGCTCAACAACAAAAATATCATTTTTGAACTGTAAAATTATTCTAAGAGAGAGTAAAATTCTAATTGTTTAAATACTGGATGAATTCTGGATATTAAGAATATTTTTTATTCCACTTTGATTTTTCCCCTTGGTCCCCTTCCATCTTCCTCTTAAATGTCTGGAGAATCACTGGGGAAGAAGGAGAGTCCTTTTTAGACTAGTCTGTGCTTCTTTGTGTGGTTGTATGCGTGGAGGTGCGGGACAGGTGTGTATGAAGTGTGTGTTTTCCACTGGAAAGAGTACAATGGCAGGATAACAAATGTTTACACAAGCTTACACACATTTTTTGCAGTTTCTCAAAGAGCAGACAGGTAATAACTGGAATAAATTCCACTCCCTGTGGCTGGGGCCATAAGCCTTAAGGGCGTGCTGGAAATTTGATTCTCATTTCCCTCTCCGATCTACTGAATCAGAGTCTGCATGTTAATAAGATGTGGTAGAGAGGAGTGGATTAGAGACTGCCTTGGGCTGGGGTGGTAGCCCAGTGGTAGAGTACCTGCCCAGCATGTGTGAGGCACTGGGTAAACACATAGTAAAATAAATAAAATAAAGTTAAAAATAAATAAAGTTAAAATAAATAAAAACAAAGAGAGAGACTTTATTGCTGTGGATTCTGGCTATCTGCTCTGTGGCCACCCCCCTATCTTGGGCCAGCTGCTTCCCCTCAGGCCTCTGCTTTCTGTAGATGGCATCACATAACCCCCAGCTGGTTCTCTGTAAATGCTAGTTCTATTGCTTATAGGCACAAAAAGGGACACATGTGGGAGTCTCTCTGTGACAGAGACCTCTCCACGGTGCAGATTTGGGTTCAATGGAATTGCTTTGCCCATGACATGGCACTCACCAGTCTTGAGGCGGCTTGAATGTAAAAAAGTTCTGTTCTTCTTGCCTTTTTCCAGAGAGAATTTCCTGTTCCTGAGCAGTTCAAGACAGTATGGGATGGATCCAAGCTGGTCACTGAACCTGCAGAAATTATGGCCTAATATTCAGAAAGCCTGGGCCCCCCCACCTCAATCCCATCACACAAACACAAGCAAGCAGCATTCAAGAGCTCCAGCGCCAACTGCGTTAGGTTAAGCCTCCAACAGACCCGAGCTCTAGAAACAGCATCGTGTCTGGCACGCCTTTGTGGGCATTCTGAAATATTTAACATTTCTTCATGACTTACCTTTGTGTGTGATTTTAGTTCCACATAACTTGAGCGCTACTGATTGAAAGGAAAAGAAAAAAGAATTCTGTTCCCCTCGTATCCTTAACACAGTCACTAATAGGTAAAAATACTGCATGTATCACTTTTACACTTAGGCTTAATTGCTAGTTGGAAAAAAAACCTTTGAGAATCAACGTCCTTTTTACCTTTTAGACTATTTCAATATGATGTAATAGTAGTAGTGTGCCCAGAAAAATGTATGATTTTTTTTCTTATTTTTACTACATTTTCATCTTTATCGGTGTGGATACACTATCAGCATGAATTCATATTTCAGTCCATGTCCTAAAAATAAATAAGAAAATTCCACATAAGGACCAAATTTGGTTTCTTGGTCCTTGGAAGACCTATATCCTTAATAGTTAGTAAAATACAAAAGTAAGGGGCTAGGGTTGTGGCTCAGCGGTAGAGCGCTTGCCTAGCACATGCGAGGCCCTGAGTTTGATTCTCAGCACCACATAAAAATAAATAAAGCGAAGGTTTAAAAAAAAAGTAAATTTCTAATTATTCATCTTCAGTATTGTTCCTCCATGTCACGTGACAATTCACTTTTCTGCATACTCTTGTGCCAAAAGATCGGCATAAGAGGAAGCAATGTTTCTGCTACATGAAATCTCATAATTTTGCTCTGAGAACAGCTCAATTTTTGTTTTCCAGTTTTGAGCCTGTTAAATATCAGATGCCTTGTAAATGGTGTCATGCTTTATTATAGAATCATTTCTTCTTTCCCACTTGCCAGACGCTAACCAGTCTCAAAAATGACCATGAAAAAAGCCATAGATGTATTACTTCTTCTAAAACCTAAAGAATTGTTTGTTGGTTTGGCTTGCTGCTCCTATTTTGTAGTCTTGATAGTATCTGCTTTTTAAAAATGAATAACTATGATATTCCTTTGTATCTTTTTGGTACATAGTGCTGAATTGTAACTTCTTGGATCACGTGTGATAAAGTGTCATTCTGTGCTTGCAGAAACAACACAAGCATATATATTGTGCCTATGACAGCCTTTGGAACATATCATTTCCGTTTTTTAAAAATATCTTCTATATCCATATAGCATTCAAATTACTAATGCTCATGTACCAAGGTTTTGCTACAAAAAGTTTTGTCTGTATGAATATTGTTGTGGCTTTAATAAATATCATTTTTGAACTGTAAACTTATTCCAAAAGAGAGTAAAATTCTAATTGTTTAAATACTGTGATGAATTTTGGGTATTAAGATTATTTTTTGTTCCACTTTGATTTTTCCCCTTGCTCATACCTGAAACTTAAAAGACAGATGAGTCCTGGTTGATAGTGTATTCAGCATATGATCGGCTTTCCTAAAGAATGGTTCCTCAAGGTAGATACCAGATGAAGCCATTGTAGTTGGAAGGCCTTCACAAAATTCTAGAATCCAGTTTTATAAATCAAAGCCTCTTCACAGAGAAAACTCCTGCTTCAGGTCTTTTTAATATATAGATGCCAGAATAGATGATTTTATAAATATGATACTACATACTATATGTTAATAGATTATAATAGGAATGACATGATGAATTTATGAATAAACCTTAGAGGAAAGTAATTAAATGAGAAGAAATTACTCTTACAAGGACATATTACATACCCATTATATAATAATAACTTTCCATGGAAAAATAAGTCCACTCAAAATCCTTAGGGTTTGTCAGTCAGCCTTGGATTAACATCAGCTTTTCAACATGCTTTACCCCTGAAATGCAAATCGGGACTTAGGATCAAATAATGATTTACCAGCTCTGTATGCCTTAAGGCACCTTCCACCTGCCAGACTTGTTAACCAGTAGGTTAAATTTGTTGAAAATTTTTTGGCAGTGTATAAAAATTCAAAAAGAAAATGCTGTATTTCCAGTAAGCTTTGTTTCTTGTTCCTTATTGAATTCCAATGCTATATCTATTGAATAAGAAATCCACACTTTGCAGAATCAATGACACATTCATTCTTAAGAAGTCAAAACGAGGATTGGGGCTGTGGCTCAGTGGTAGAGCGCTTGCCTAGCATGTGCGAAGCCCTGGGTTCGATCCTCAGCACCACATAAAAATAAATAAATAAAATAAAGGTATTGTGTCCAACTAAAAAATAAATATTTTTTTTTAAAAAAAGAAGTCAAAATGAGAATCTATCAAAAGTAAGCAGGGCAAGGGTCTCCTATACCTCTTTACTTTGTAGAATTACAGGATAAAGATGAACAACCAACACAGACATCATGCTTGTGATCCCAGTAACTTGGGAGTTCCAACAGCTTGGGAGGCTGAGGCCCTAAGCAACTTACCAAGACTCTATCTGAAAATAAAAAAGGGGCTAGGGATGTTGCTCAGTGGTTAAGCACCTCTGGGTTCAATTCCTGCTACCAAAAAAAAAAATTTAAAGAGGTTTTATCTTCAAAATCCTATCCTCAATGATACTGTTCTCTTAGATAATGCATTGCAAACAGTTTTCCTTATACTGCAAAATGTTTTGATGTGAATAGTCAGTACTAACCATTCTTTATTTAGGGAGCTGATAGGAAACACATATAGCTCTATTCATTTATTCTTTCTCTCATTGAAAATGTCTACTTCAAGTTCTAAGAATCTAGATGAGTGTGTCCAGGAAATCCTCTCATTTTAAAGACAAGAAGGCTGAGATCCCATGACATTAACGTCTTGTAGAAGCAGCAAGTGAACCTAAGGACAAAACACATGGGCTTATGGTCTCCTATTTCTGAAACTCTGAAAGTTTATCAAATCCAGGGTCTTTGTCTCAGTCCTTGTCCATTAACATTCTTGACACTGCCCTTTTCTTACTAAACTCCCTTGATTTTGTGATACGCCACATGCTTCTCTGGCTCCTTTCCCTTCTACCCTTTTGTTTCCCCTCAAAAGCTCATTTGTCTCCCTTAACTTCATCACCTCTACATAGATGACTCCCAGATCCACCTCTAGGATTCCTAACTCCTAGTGTCCACATAGAGTGTCCGTCCACCTGCCTGTCCTAGCTTCACTCAACGTGGCTAAAATTAAAGCGCATTTTCCACACACGTCCCTGTATTCCTCATCTGCCTCTCCAATTTCAGTCAAGGCACCTTAGGCTTTCCATCAGAAGATTTAAAATCATCCATTTCCTGTGTTAGGAAACGCTGAGAGAGCCAGAGATGGGGGAAACAGGGGTTCTGTCTTGAATATGTATAATATTTTAACTGTAAAGGGAAGGTAAACATTTGGGTCTATGGATCTGGATTCCTTGTCACTGAAACCAAATACTTAGGAATTATCTCATGAGTTTAATATTCCAAAAATGAATTTCATTAAGCGTTCTCATTTCAGAAGAATTTATTTAAAACCAATGGCACTTTCTGTACCACTTCAGATACACATGTGATTTTGAGGGCTTTAATTGCTTCAAAGGAGAGAGGCTGATTTTATAATGTCACAATTTCTTGTGCACTTTTAACCATTTCATTGTTTCTTTATGTGAGGAAGCTTATATCTGTGTTTCAAGAGAAAAAGAAACCAGCTCAAGTTACCCAGTGATAATTTGATGATTTTTTTCCAAATGTTTTTTTTTTTTTCCTCTTTTGTTTGCTTAGGACATTGGCACAGAATATGCAACTAACAAAGGGTTATGTTTACCTATCAGAAAATTTTTGTTCAGCTTACCCTCCAATTAAAGAGTCATTTTATATTTAAAGGTAATTTTTGCCTACAACTATCATTTTGCACATTTGAGTTATATGTCCACTATATTTCAACACATTACATTTTAGGACCATCCGTTGTCAAAAAGAATACCCCATAATGACATGAAGACTCAGATGAAAGGAATACATTACTTACTAAACCATAATAGCAATTTATAAATTGCATTTTACAATATCACAAAGGTTTGTTCTTTTTAAAATCAGTTAATAATTTCCTCTAGCCAATAATTCATCCTGGAAACTAATCAGAAACTGCATCTTAATTTTTTTTTTTGCTATTTTTAGTAATCATTCCTTGAACTCATTTCGTCCACCCAAAAGTCAATAAACCTATAATGGAAGTCTTCCTGTGAACAGAGTGGTTCTGTAGATTTGTTTGGAAAGACAGACTCACTTGGGAAGCCTGTGATTGCTCTTTCCTGCTCATGGTCCCTGTGGAGCCTAATCGTGTCCACACATAATGAACAGCAGGCATCCCCCAGAAAAGCTGATGCTAATGACACATGTCCTCTGGCTGCCTGTCCCTCGTTCAGCTGATATTATGACAGCCCTTGCTTCAGGCATTCTCTTCCGTTTAAAAGCTGTAGAGAAAATATCAGAGTTAGGCAGATGCAGTCTATTGGTTCCAGGAGAGTGATTGCTTCCTGCAACCACGCTTCTTAAAATCTATGAGGCTTACAGATATTTAAAGACATTGTCCTGTAGTATTACTGAAAGATGTGCAGAGCCGGAGAAAGAGTTTTCAAGAACTATGTAAAATATGCACCTATAGAAAAGGATATAGATTCACAGCCATATGCTTTTAAAGAAGTTGTAAGGTTAGGCATTCTTTATGTTCTGGGACAGAGATAAAAGTTGGAGGAAATAATCAGCAATTTTCTATTATGAATGGCATTACTTTAACTCTGACCGTGGCCAACTGAATCATAGATTTTGGTATTTGTTTGGCTGATTAGGCAGAAGGAAGCTAACTTCATCGATCTGCTGGAAAAGTGAACTTGAAAACCTAAGTTATCCAAATTGCCTGTCTAAATCCACTGAATATGTGGTGGGCATTTTCCCTGTATGCT